GGCACACTGATATAGCATTGTTCTGATCGGTTCGGAGACTCTCAGTTCGTGGGGGAAATGTGCATTGAAGTTCTTAAAGGAATTAGGCGACAAATTGATCAGTGCTTCGAAAAGACCAGAGAGCGAAATGGTTCCTGTTCCAGCGCCTCAGTGTCGCGATTCAGAGAGAAAATACCTGTTACATCTTGGGCACGAGTCCAACTTTAGAGGAATTCGAAGAGGTGTTTGACTTGCAACAATGATTGAATCTGTCCGTGACATTTATTAATGTATCCCGTTGGTGTGTTTTTCATTTTACTTGTAATGATTGGCCACATATTATAATCAAGTAATCTTGTACAAGTGTTATATATATATATATATATATATATATATATATATATGTCGTACCTAGTAGCCAGAACGCACTTCTCAGCCTACTATGCAAGGCCCGATTTGCCTAAAAAGTCAAGTTTTCATGAATTAATTGTTTTTCGACTACCTAACCTACCTAACCTAACCTAACCTAACTTTTTCGGCTACCTAACCAAACCTAACCCATAAAGATAGGTTAGGTTAGGTTAGGTAGGGTTGGTTAGGTTCGGTCATATATCTACGTTAATTTTAACTCCAATAAAAAAAAATTGACCTCATACATAATGAAATGGGTAGCTTTATCATTTCATAAGAAAAAAATTAGAAAAAATAGATTAATTCAGGAAAACTTGGCCTATTAGGCAAATTGGGCCTTGAATAGTAGGCCAAAAAGTGAGTTCTGGCTACTAGGTACGACATATATATATATATATATATATATATATATATATATATATATATATATATATATATATATATTATATATATATATATATATTATATATATATATATATATATATATATATATATATATATATATATATATAAAGGCATTGTATATGGTTGCCAATGAATAACATAAATTTTAATGGCTGCGTTTGATAGATATTCTTTATTTTCCAGGTTTTCTTTGCTCCATCCAGTGGACACAGAGGAAAGGCGTCCTGCGAGTCATTGATGGTTGCGACAACACAGAGTGTATGTATGTCGCTGGTCAAGTACTTGATATTAACAATTCGTGAGGACGTTGGAAGATAAATTGGCAAGGTGCCGATATCCTCGAAGTGCCGCGTCGGAGCTTCAGTTAACAGTATCTGGGCGACGACACTGTGGAACACGACACTGGTCGCAGTGTGGTCGCCGCGATCCTATAAAGCAAGTGTGAGGACAGTGTGGTGATGCTCGCACTGTGGTTGAGAAGTAGAACTTGATCCCAGTGGACGTTACACTGATGACAGATTCGTTATACTCTGCGTCTTGACCTCGAAACCATGGCGGTTCAGGTCAACTTGTGTTCGGTGCTTGTGCTGGGCGTTCTAGTGGGGCTGTGCCTGGCCACCGAGCTGCATAATAGTCTTATTAATTCCTCAACACTGGAAGTTAACGAACCGCGCCGGGAAGATAAAGAAGGGAAAATAAAAACAGCCAGGCCAAAAGACCCTCTTGTAGTGCAGACCAAGAGTGGTCGGTTGAGAGGCTTCAGAAGGACAGTCTTCGGGGAGAATGTGGATTCGTTTTATGGTATTCCTTTTGCTAAGCCTCCAGTAGGAGACTTGCGATACAAAAAGCCTGTACCAATTGACCCTTGGCCTGGCATCCTCGACACAGTCAAGCTTCCGAACACCTGTGTCCAAGAGCCCTTTAACTACTTTCCAGGGTTCATTGGTGAACAGATGTGGAATCCAAATACGGAACTCTCCGAAGACTGCCTTTATCTGAACATCTGGGCACCTGCCCGCCTCCGGGAGCCAGGTGCAGAGCCCACTGAGGTCTTGGTGTGGATCTATGGAGGTGGTTACATGGGCGGCACCTCCACGCTCGAAATCTATGACGCGGACATAATGGTTACAGCCAATAATTTCATCGTTGCTTCAATGCAGTATCGTTGTGGGGCTTTTGGTTACTTGTATTTGAATATGGAGGATGCTCCTGGCAACGTGGGAATGTACGATCAAGCTCTGGCAATGAAGTGGATTCGTGATAACATCGCATTCTTCGGTGGAAACCCTGAACGAATAACGCTCTTCGGCGAGTCAGCGGGCGCTGGGTCCATCGCTGTGCACCTCCTCTCGCCCGTCTCCAGTCACTTGTTTGACCGCGCCATCGTGCAGTCCGGCGTCGTCAACTCTCCCTGGTCAATCATGTCCGCTGACAAGGCTTACGACATCGGCTTGCGCCTTGTGGACGACGTGGGCTGCAACGCGTCCATGATCATCGAGAAGCCAGATGTGGTGATGGAGTGTATGAGAGGAGTGGACGAGAAGAATATCTCTGTAACACAGTGGAACAGCTACTTTGGTCTGCTACAGTTCCCCTCGACACCAATTGTTGACGGCGCCTTCCTCCCTGACGACCCGCTGGAGATGATTCGTCGAGGAGAAGTGAAGAAAACCGAAGTGCTCATCGGCTCCAACCTTGACGAAGGTAAGTACACTAAGGTTCGCCTTTTCTAAAGGCCAAGACCAGATGTATGTATGTATAAACAATTGAAATACTTCTCACGAAGAAATGAAAGCGACTCAGTTTGCAACAGTCATTTCTAAAAACGATTCTCTTCAAATGTTGCGTCTCGGAAGACAAGAGAAAAATATTTATATATACAATAAGTGCTTCATTTTTCCTGTTTAGTAACTTATTGTTAAATGTTATCTGACAAAAACACACACAAGAACACACACCCCACAACCATTCCACCCCCATCCCCCCCAGAGCCACACCTGCAACTATCCTCCCCCCACCCCCTCCAGAGGCACACCTGCAACTATCCACCCCACCCCCCCTCCAGAACCACACCCGCAACTATCCACCCCCACCCCCTCCAGAGCCACACCCGCAACTATCCACCCCCACCCCCTCCAGAGCCACACCTGCAACTATCCTCCCCCACCCCCTCCAGAGCCACACCCGCAACTATCCACCCCCACCCCCACCAGAGCCACACCTGCAACTATCCACCCCCATCCCCTCCAGAGCCACTCCTGCAACCATCCCCCCCAGAGCCACACCTGCAACTTTCCTCCCCCCATCCCCCCCCAGAGCCCCACCTGCAACTATCCACCCCCACCCCCTCCAGAGCCACACCTGCAACTATCCACCCTAACCCTCCCCAGAGCCACACCTGCAACTATCCACTCCCACCCCCTCCAGAGCCACACCTGCAACTATCCAGCCCCACCCCCTCCAGAGCCACACCTGCAACTATCCTCCCCCTACCCCCTCCAGAGCCACACCCGCAACTATCCTCCCCCCACCCCCTCCAGAGGCACACCTGCAACTATCCACCCCCACCCCCCCTCCAGAACCACACCCGCAACTATCCACCCCCCACCCCCTCCAGAGCCACACCTGCAACTATCCACCCCCACCCCCTCCAGAGCCACACCTGCAACTATCCTCCCCCACCCCCTCCAGAGCCACACCCGCAACTATCCACCCCCACCCCCACCAGAGCCACACCTGCAACTATCCACCCCCATCCCCTCCAGAGCCACTCCTGCAACCATCCCCCCCAGAGCCACACCTGCAACTTTCCTCCCCCCATCCCCCCCCCAGAGCCCCACCTGCAACTATCCACCCCCCCCCCTCCAGAGCCACACCTGCAACTATCCACCCTAACCCCCCCCCCAGAGCCACACCTGCAACTATCCACCCCCACCCCCTTCAGAGCCACACCTGCAACTATCCACCCCCATCCCCCCCAGAGCCACACCTTCAACTATCCACCCCCCCTCCAGAGCCACACCTGCAACTATCCACCCCGCATCCCCCCCAGAGCCCCACCTGCAACTATCCACCCCCACCCCCACCAGAGCCACACCTGCAACTATCCACCCCAACCCCCCAGAGCCACACCTGCAACTATCCACCCCCACTCCCTTCAGAGCCACACCTGCAACTATCCACCCCTATTCCCCCCAGAGCCACACCTGCAACTATCCACCCCCACCCCCCAGAGTCACACCCGCAACTATCCCCCCATCCCTTCAGAGCCACACCCGCAACTATCCACCCCCATCCCCCCCAGAGCCACACCCGCAACTATCCACCCCCCATCCCCCCAGAGCCACACCTGCAACTATCCACCCCCCATCCCCCCCAGAGCCACACCTGCAACTATCCTCCCCCATCCCTTCCAGAGCCACAACTGCAACTATCCTCCCCCACCCCCTCCAGAGCCACACCCGCAACTATCCTCCCCGCACCCCCTCCAGAGCCACACCTGCAACTATCCACCCCCTACCCCCTCCAGAGCCACACCTGCAACTATCCTCCCCCACCCCCTCCAGAGCCACACCTGCAACTATCCACCCCCACCCCCTCCAGAGCCACACCTGCAACTATCCACCCTAACCCCCCCAGAGCCACACCTGCAACTATCCACCCCCACCCCCTTCAGAGCCACACCTGCAACTATCCACCCCCATCCCCCCCAGAGCCACACCTGCAACTATCCACCCCCCCTCCAGAGCCACACCTGCAACTATCCACCCCATCCCCCCCCAGAGCCCCACCTGCAACTATCCACCCCCACCCCCACCAGAGCCACACCTGCAACTATCCACCCCAACCCCCCCAGAGCCACACCTGCAACTATCCACCCCCACCCCCTTCAGAGCCACACCTGCAACTATCCACCCCTATTCCCCCCAGAGCCACACCTGCAACTATCCACCCCCACCCCCCAGAGTCACACCCGCAACTATCCCCCCATCCCTTCAGAGCCACACCCGCAACTATCCACCCCCCATCCCCCCCAGAGCCACACCCGCAACTATCCACCCCCCATCCCCCCAGAGCCACACCTGCAACTATCCACCCCCATCCCCCCCAGAGCCACACCTGCAACTATCCTCCCCCACCCCTTCCAGAGCCACACCTGCAACTATCCTCCCCCACCCCCTCCAGAGCCACACCCGCAACTATCCTCCCCGCACCCCCTCCAGAGCCACACCTGCAACTATCCACCCCCTACCCCCTCCAGAGCCACACCTGCAACTATCCTCCCCCCACCCCATCCAGAGCCACACCTGCAACTATCCACCCCCACCCCCTCCAGAGCCACACCTGCAACTATCGACCCCCCCCCAGAGCCCCACCTGCAACTATCCACCCCCACCCCCACCAGAGCCACACCTGCAACTATCCACCCCAACCCCCCCAGAGCCACACCTGCAACTATCCACCCCCACCCCCTTCAGAGCCACACCTGCAAATATCCACCCCTATTCCCCCCAGAGCCACACCTGCAACTATCCACCCCCACCCCCCAGAGTCACACCCGCTACTATCCCCCCATCCCTTCAGAGCCACACCCGCAACTATCCCCCCCCATCCCCCCCAGAGCCACACCCGCAACTATCCACCCCCCATCCCCCCAGAGCCACACCTGCAACTATCCACCCCCCATCCCCCCCAGAGCCACACCTGCAACTATCCTCCCCCACCCCTTCCAGAGCCACACCTGCAACTATCCTCCCCCACCCCCTCCAGAGCCACACCCGCAACTATCCTCCCCGCACCCCCTCCAGAGCCACACCTGCAACTATCCACCCCCTACCCCCTCCAGAGCCACACCTGCAACTATCCTCCCCCCACCCCCTCCAGAGCCACACCTGCAACTATCCACCCCCACCCCCTCCAGAGCCACCCCTGCAACTATCCACCCTAACCCCCCCAGAGCCACACCTGCAACTATCCACCCACACCCCCTTCAGAGCCACACCTGCAACTATCCACCCCCATCCCCCCCAGAGCCACACCTGCAACTATCCACCCCCCCCCCCAGAGCCCCACCTGCAACTATCCACCCCCACCCCCACCAGAGCCACACCTGCAACTATCCACCCCAACCCCCCCAGAGCCACACCTGCAACTATCCACCCCCACCCCCTTCAGAGCCACACCTGCAACTATCCACCCCTATTCCCCCCAGAGCCACACCTGCAACTATCCACCCCCACCCCCCAGAGTCACACCCGCAACTATCCCCCCATCCCTTCAGAGCCACACCCGCAACTATCCACCCCCCATCCCCCCCAGAGCCACACCCGCAACTATCCACCCCCCAGAGCCACACCTGCAACTATCCACCCCCCATCCCCCCCAGAGCCACACCTGCAACTATCCTCCCCCACCCCTTCCAGAGCCACACCTGCAACTATCCTCCCCCACCCCCTCCAGAGCCACACCCGCAACTATCCTCCCCGCACCCCCTCCAGAGCCACACCTGCAACTATCCACCCCCTACCCCCTCCAGAGCCACACCTGCAACTATCCTCCTCCCACCCCCTCCAGAGCCACACCTGCAACTATCCACCCCCACCCCCTCCAGAGCCACACCTGCAACTATCGACCCCCCCCCAGAGCCCCACCTGCAACTATCCACCCCCACCCCCACCAGAGCCACACCTGCAACTATCCACCCCAACCCCCCCAGAGCCACACCTGCAACTATCCACCCCCACCCCCTTCAGAGCCACACCTGCAACTATCCACCCCTATTCCCCCCAGAGCCACACCTGCAACTATCCACCCCCACCCCCCAGAGTCACACCCGCAACTATCCCCCCATCCCTTCAGAGCCACACCCGCAACTATCCCCCCCCATCCGCCCCAGAGCCACACCCGCAACTATCCACCCCCCATCCCCCTAGAGCCACACCTGCAACTATCCACCCCCATCCCCCCCAGAGCCACACCTGCAACTATCCTCCCCCACCCCTTCCAGAGCCACACCTGCAACTATCCTCCCCCACCCCCTCCAGAGCCACACCCGCAACTATCCTCCCCGCACCCCCTCCAGAGCCACACCTGCAACTATCTACCCCCTACCCCCTCCAGAGCCACACCTGCAACTATCCTCCCCCCCACCCCCACCAGAGCCACACCTGCAACTATCCACCCCAACCCCCTCAGAGCCACACCTGCAACTATCCACCCCCACCCCCTTCAGAGCCACACCTGCAACTATCCACCCCCACCCCCTCCAGAGCCACACCTGCAACTATCGACCCCCCCCCAGAGCCCCACCTGCAACTATCCACCCCCACCCCCACCAGAGCCACACCTGCAACTATCCACCCCAACCCCCCCAGAGCCACACCTGCAACTATCCACCCCCACCCCCTTCAGAGCCACACCTGCAACTATCCACCCCTATTCCCCCCAGAGCCACACCTGCAACTATCCACCCCCACCCCCCAGAGTCACACGCGCAACTATCCCCCCATCCCTTCAGAGCCACACCCGCAACTATCCACCCCCCATCCCCCCCCCAGAGCCACACCCGCAACTATCCACCCCCATCCCCCCAGAGCCACACCTGCAACTATCCACCCCCATCCCCCCCAGAGCCACACCTGCAACTATCCTCCCCCACCCCTTCCAGAGCCACACCTGCAACTATCCTCCCCCACCCCCTCCAG